TCGAATTCATAGGAATGAGGATGATGTGGAAGTGAAAATTCAAAATAGGGAAGCTCATAATAATGAATTTCCTCTGTTTCAAAAGGAAAGGAAAGAACAATATTGGGAACAACCCTTCAAAGACATTCAACAAGAGCTCAACCATATGAAGGAGGTTGTAAAAAGCAAAACTCCAGTGACTATGGATGCCTTAGTTCAACAGACTGAGTCCCCATTTACTGCACAGGTGTTGCACTTTCCATTTCCACCTAAATTCATAATGTCCCAGATGGAGGCCTTTTATTGGACAAAGAACCCATGGACCACCTCAACACCTACAAGAATCAAATTGAGCTACATGGGTACTAGGACCCGATACGATGTTAGGTCTTCGCCATCACTTTGAAAGGTTCAACTCTACTATGGTTCAATAGGCTGCCCCCAACATCCATCTCATCCTTCATAGAGCTCTCCATCTCCTTTGTATCGCACTTCATAGGAGCCCGGACTTACCGAAAATCAAGCTTTGGTGTGCGTCATTCACAACCAAAATTAATTCCTTACCTCTACACTACAAATATAGCAGTGGCAAGCAAGGGTCAATACCATAGAGAAATGAATTAACTTAACTAGTAACAAGTGCAATAATATGTAAATAAAAATGGAGGTTTGTTTGTCACAAAATCAAATTATCAAATCGTTAACAAGAATCAATTAATGAAACGTCGGGTCAAAGGCAATTCAACTGTTAGTTATAGATTTGATCATAGACACACAAACAATCAACTCCTATCAAAAGCTTAGTTAAAAGATCATTTAGATGCTAAACGACCTTCTTCATCTCTATAAACATTAATACAAGCTTAGTACTCATATTAAATCTTGTTATTAATCAATTCGGTATTAAGAATCCTCCTTCTATTAATAACAGCCTTAAGACCAACTAAGATTGAATAACAAATCTCCACCAGCGAAGAACTATTAATCCAATTTATAATTCCCTCAGATTAATAACAAAAGTTTGAAAAACAACTGCATAATTTGTTGCTACTACAATCAAGTTTCAAGACAATTACAGATCAAGAACTTAATCTTGCATTTATCACATAGAACATCAATTAGTGTGCACCTTAATCAAAAGAACTATGTAATCTCATCAATAAATCAGAAAATCATATCATTTAAATAGAATTTGATATTAAATAATTAAACCACGTCTCACAAAACCATATACCAACTTAGAATACCTTCAACCGAACAAAGGAAATCCTACTCATTGCTTAGGTAAACCTAAGTTTGTATAAAAATTATTGTGTCACCCTTCCTTGCTCTGCCTTCCACTCCTTCCAGGAAACCTTAGATACATATAGAAAAAAAATGACACTTCCCAAGACGTGTACAACTCAAATACCTACATTAGAGGTCTTCCTTATCAAAACAGATTGATAGAAATCACAGAATCGTGCTGAAACTTGTGAGATGTTCTTCTATCAGATAACGACTGAATATTTGAGGTCTTGATGAAAGTTGTAGCCCTATATGTGTAGATAAGTTTTGGAATTTGAATCACCTAATTTAGACTTAGGAAACTTAAGTTATGACCCACTGAAGTTTACTGGGTCAGACAAGAATCCAACTCCAATCAGGATTCTGATATGCTTTCTAGGCCTTACTTTGAAACAATGTTTAAAGGCCCAAATGAACTCGGATTTTTGAAAAGAATACCTTTCTGAAAAGCTTAAGACGTCCTCTAAAAACTTCATGAAGACCACTTTCTCATTCTGAAACTCTAACGCCATCCAAACCTCAATGGAAGCTCCATAGATTGAAACAACCTCAAAGCTGAAAATTGCACAATGTATTCCATATCTATTCTTTTACCTTCAATGCTTCCCTAATTCAATAAATATATTAATCAGCTCACTTAAACAAAAAAATATGTCATAAAACTAAATATAAAGGAATTAAAAATATTAAATATTATGCTCTTATCACTATCATTTGTTAAATTTAAAATAGGGACCCAATGAGAACCTATGGACTTAAGTTCAAAGGTTCAACTCAGAATCATTAAAAGTAGACGTACTGATGAAGAATTCTCCATCATAGCCTTTATTGCTTGGTTAGGAATCCAGTCAAAGGACCTGATGTTCTCTATCTCCAAAATCCAGCAAGCCAGTATGGCAGAAATCCTCACCAAGGCAAAAAAGTACATCAATGGCGAGGAAGCACTCCTCTCCAAGGTGGGGAACACGTCCGCGCACAAGGAGAAGGAGAAAAATAGAGAATGAAGTCCCAAAAAAGGAAGAAGTAAAGATAGATCTCCACGAAGAGATAGGGACCGCTCTTCAAAAAGGAGATGAGACATCAGAGACTGCTTTGATCCACCACCGCAATACCTGCAGCCAAGATTTCCGCCTCAGCAGTAAACTCTCCTCACAACCACAGTGTCCTAGGTCCTTTATGAGATACAAAACAAAAAATTCCTAAGATGGCCACCTTTAATGAAGACAGATCCCACAAAAAGAGATGCAATGAAATACTGCAAATACCACAGGGCCCATGGCCATCTCACTGATGGTTGTATCCAATTGAAGAAGGAGATCGAGTTCCTGATCCAACGGGAACAATTGCGCTGCTTTGTGACGCAGGACAATTAGAATCGAGCTCAACCACCTCTAGCACCTCAGCAGCAAGTCCCTGCACAACATCAATAACCACTAGGAGAGATCAGAGTGATATCTCAAGGATTTGTTAGAGGCAGGGAGTCCAGCTTAGCCAGCAAGACTCACATGCGCAAAGTCAGAACTGACGAGATGTTGGAAGTACACACTATGTCCAAAACACCTCAGCTGAACATGGACATCACTTTCTCAGATAAGGACCTGGAGGACTGCTAGTATCCCCACGATGACCCCAAGGTGGTAAGGGTCATCATCGCCAACAGGACCGTCCATCGAGTCCTGATTGACAACAGGAGCTTTGCTGACATCATCTTCGCATCTGTCTTTGACAAGATGGATATAGGCAGAGACAAACTTGAGCCAATAAGGGCTCACTTATTCGGATTCTCAAGGGAAAGGGTGTTACCTCTGAGTTCAATCCAACTCGTGCTCACTATGAGAGATCCTCCTTGCCAGTCCACCACCACTATGACGTTCCTATTGGTCGATGCACATTCAGCATACAACATTCTACTAGAAAAACCTTCCCTCAACGCAATGAGAGTCATTCCTTTAGCCTACTACCTCGTCATGAAGTTCTCTATAAAAAATGAAATTGAAGTGGTCTGAGGATACTAGTGTGTAGCATGAAAATGCTATATGGCATCCATGAAAAAGAAAAAGTTCAAGAATATTCAGCTGGACGAGCTCGACATAAGAGACAAGCTAGAGATCAGGCCAATACCCTTAGAAGAGCTAAAGCCTATTCAGCTCAACGAGAAGCCAGAGCACCTGGTATACATGGGATCTAAGCTAAACAGCGAAGTTAAAGACCTCCTGAGTCAATTCCTTATAAGGAAAAAAGAGGTGTTTGACTAGAAACAAGAGGATATGCAAGGAATTGACCCCTCAATCATCATGCACAAGCTCACGTGAATTCGACCTTCAAGCCCTTTAAACAAAAGCGAAGGAGTTTTACCCCAGAATGCCAAAAAATGATCAATGAAGAAGTCAGCAAACTTCTTCACTCTAAAGCCATCAGAGAGGTGGACTATCCGACTTGGCTAGCAAACGTGGTCCTCGTCAAAAATATTGCAATGTACGTAAATATCCCTTTTTTTTAATGGAATCAAAACCGTATCTTTGTTGAACTTCCTAAGTGCATCTCTCATTTTCTCCTTACTCTCGAGCTCACCGTTCTTCGAGCTAGAGGGTATAGGCTATATGCGAGCTAGAGGGTACAAGCTAAATGGTCCCTGAGCTCCTAGTCTTTCTCAAACTCCTTAAGTGCATCTCTCATTTACCCCTACTGTCGGGCTCATTGTTTTCGGAGCTAGAGGGTACAAGCTATTAGACAACTTAGTTAGAGGTTTGAGCTCTTCTTCTTTTTAATCTCAATAGGTGCACCCAACATATACAGTTTTTGGAAAAAGGTGATTAAATGTCTCTACCTACGTGCCCACCTAACTCAGTCAAGCACCTAACATTAATTCTTGTTGTAAAATTATTTTATTAAATAAGTCTAATTGTCGCCCTTTTGCCTCCATAAGTTAGCTACTTCGTTGTTCAAACTATCTTTCATCTTCGAGCATTTAACTCTTCTGGGTATTTCACTTGGCTAGTACTCTTCTTGCTTCTTCATGGCTTCCTCAGCTTCTTTTTTGTTGAGACAACGTGCTTCTATTCTCATAATTGACCTTCTTATTTCCCAACTCTGTGTCTGTGGCTGAGGCAAAGGAAATTAGTAAGTGGTACCATTTTCCTACGGGCGTGGTTGTTCAGTGCCCTACTTCTGATGAGCCTTACAACCTTCTTCTTTGAAGGAATGTTTACTTTTTCAAAGGTGCATTCAAGATAGGGCTCTGTCTACCCATTCATCTGTCGATCAGATGAATTTTAGCCTTTTTGGAGCTTTACCCCTATACGGTTTTCACCAGAAGTGTTTGGCACCATTGTAAGTTTCTTCGTCTTCTAGTGCATGCATGGATCATATGACCAATTCACATGGAGGTTCCAAGTCCCAATGCTAGTCCTTAATTCCCTTGGCTCCCCCAAGGGGTGGTCTCAACACTTTTTCTTTGTTTTTGGGGACGTCTAGGAACTCACCGAGGCACACATAAACCATCTTTATGTGCCTCATTTGTGGGGACGCATTCCAAATAGACGTAAGGAGATAGTTTGCCTTTCCAAGTAGGAAAGAGACCCTCGTGTTGTATCTCATTTTCTTGAAGCTAGTGGTTTTTGTGTTGATGCTGGTGATCCTGGACTAATTCTTGATGAGATTGCAATGGTCTGTCACCTTAGCTGAGCTGAGACGGTTCCCTTCTTCGCACTCATCATAGCTCAAAACCTTTTCAGGTATGGGCTTGGCCCCGACCCAGCTATCATTTCAGTCATTATCCCTGCTGTTGTTCCAATTGCCCCTCCTTCTGCTGTTAAAAAGGATTTTCCTTCTACGGGCCTTGAAGAAGACACTACTACTCCCTCAAGAAGGAACAGGAAGAGATCCTAGGGGTCTTCCTCAACTCCTCCCTCGGAGCTCTCATCTAGCGAGAGGAGATGTACAATTATTGAGTTGGAGATGGTGTTTGAGCTAGCCATGTTAAGGAGGCAGCTCTTCGAGGCCGAGAAGGAGAGACCAGTGTACCGGGGTATGCTTGTTGTAATTTTCTAGAATTGTCTACTATTTTTTAAACTTTTAATGTTAGTATTGAAAATTTGTGCTCATAACATTGGCAAAATGAAGATGTTGATTACCCTGATCATCCTGAAGGTGGGTACCCTCATATTGAGACCTATCAAGATTTGCACAAGTGGAATTTATGGGCCTATATATCGAACACCAAGTTGAGCAAAGAGTTAGTGAATTGCAAAATTTTTTAATTTGTACTTGACACCTATGAATTATGATGTGACTTTAATAAGCAATGAGGAGCTAGTTTGGTTTGATGAACACCATTATTTTTTGAAGCCAGTAGATTTACAATCCTTGGGTGCAGTAGAATGGGTCGTAATTCTGTAAGTGCATTTCCTCTATTGCCCTTATTGTCTTCAATTATTATACAAAATTTAAAGCATTCCCTAAATGAAACTTAACTTCTTGTTCACTTAACAGGTAATAAGTGAAACCCTTTTATTATGTTGGATGTTGAAAAGCTCGACAACATCACAAAAAATAAGTGATGGTACTTGCTGACATGGTTCTCAGTAAAGTATTACAACTCATCTGTGTTGTGCAATGCTTCTAGAGACAAAGCATCTACATTTGCTTAGGATTTCTATGTTATGATTGTTGTTGGTAGCAACAAGCAATTGCAGTAGAGCTGTCAAACAATGGTCACTTGGACGATAAATTTAGATCCATCTATGCACATTTCATTCGCGACATTAAAAAAATGTGACAAGGTTTGACGTTACTACTTATATTATATAGGTCCTCCTTATTAATAAATGAATGTTTACAATGTCTCAATGATAATTGTTTTGCATGTTTTATAAATGTAGATATATGTACTAATAAATGAAGGGAGCATTCATTGTTACTTAATGGTGGTACATGTAGAGAATAAGCAAGTGATGCTTATTGATACATTGTGTGATCCTTGCAAGAAACATATCCGATTTACATAGGCTGAGAAAATGGTAAAGTTTAAGTAATCCAAGTAAATTTTGTGAAAGGTGTAACCCCAATATTTATCATCTAAATACTTCGTACTCATGAACAAGTGAAGGTACTACATTGTTTGATTGCTGAGTTATCGAAAGAGGTTGAACAGCTAGATAAATGGCCTATCATTACACCAAGATGGGTATCAATACAAAGCAATGGACACAATTGTGGGATGTACATCATCGAGATGCTTCGAGCGCCGCACTTTCCAACTATATTAGCTCTAAATATGATACTCACACGACACATGAAGAAGCGGGTAACATGTGAAGAATGACATTACAAGAAGTTGACCACAGTTGGAATGAATTTGCATGCCTCATTGTAGGATTGGTAATGGGTGTGATATTCATTCATATTATATACCACTTTGCCAAAAAATTTGTATGATCTTATTTTGTAAAAAGTAAGTATAATTATAATCCATAGCTTTTTGACAGGTATTCTAAACTAAGTAGAAGAGAAAATAAACAAAAGGAAAAGGGATCCATAAAAAAAATGGTCTGCACAAAAGAAAAATGTCATATAGATATTTTCGCACATCAAACATCCCAAATCACCAAAATCAGGGCAACAAAACCTCATGGCCAGCAAAATACGGGAAAAAAAATTGATTCCAATTTAGGTGATAATGTTTATACAAAAAAATTAGTATGTACCACTAAATCAAGCCCATAAACATTATACATGACTTTTCTATACAAAAATAAGAATATGTCACACATATAAAACATTTGGTCATTATCATCTCTGATTTTTACCACAATTCTTTTGTTGTTGTTGTCGTGCCTTGCATATGATCTTGTTTCTTAATTCGTTGTATATGTGAGTAACAACCTTGAATACTAGATCCTTCTGCATCGTACTGGATTCATCTTAAAGACAGTAACCACAGTTAAGTTGAAAAATATTACATACACAAATTTAATTTAGTACTATTAAATATTAAATAAGGAGAATGGCTATCATACCGTAATTGTGAATTATGGATCCAAAAATTGAGCATTCATCTCCTTTATGTAACGCCCCAAAATCCCCCTTGAACAATATTACTATTTAAAAATCATTCACATTACGAGAGCAACTAATAAGATCCATAATTAAAGAAAATTTCATTTATCATCCATAATATCTACAACTTCATCCAAAAGAATATGCGAAGTCATGGTCATTCCATCCAAAAGAATATGCCCAACTACGACAATTATTTTCCAACAATTAAATATTTTCTAACAGTGGAATAAGAAAAATATTAACATGAACATTATCTCAAAATAAACCTCCTAGTCTAGGACATAAAAAGAATAGTTCTAGACATCCCCCTCCGGGTCCACATGCCCGTCAAGTTGAGCTTCCCAATCTACATGCTCGTTAACTCTAAGCTCCTCTTCTAAATCAAAGTCTGAAAGAATGTTGTTTGTAGGGGGTGAGCAGTAAACTCTATAGGAAAATTACTTGACAAATTTTCTTGTTGTTTCCTAACCTATAAACATCACCTTTTAGCATGTATAGTATATGAATAAAGGAGAGTGTCACTCTCCTAAGGATGATGTCAAAAGAAAGGGCAATGGAATGGTGGATGAATGAGATTTCAAATGTGAGTATGTGTGAACAAAAGTGCTCCCCAAGCGCAAGGAGACTTTCACGGATCGTGTTTTACTTGGTGGTATTCCAAGGTTGTTTCCACGGGGAAGGAAGTAAACCGAGGGGAAGGTGATTTTGGGAGAAAGAAAGTCTAAAATCTTTGATTGTTGGAAGTTGTTTGGTGAAGTTGTTTTGATGCTAGTAAAATGAGACACAAATGTTGGCAAATCCAAGAGGTCACTCCAATAGGAATACCGTCTCAACTCAAAACCCTCCGCCAATAGAGCATGAATGAACGATTGATTCGTGGGAAGCTAGGGGTAAGATTGGTGAGTATCTAAGCATAAACCGTGATTAGGCCTACGAAATACCAAAGACTCACCAAGTTATCCACCCTCAACCCAGTCAAACCGAACCATTGAACTCTGAAAGAGGGGAGGAGAATGAGTTGAAATGGTATACCCAAGTGGAGGTTCCTCTTGGTTTTGCCAACTAAGAGATTTAGCTATTCATGCTTAAAATAAAGACAACAATATGATGAGAAGACATTATGAAAAAATAAAGACTAATGCTAAGCATAAATGAATTGCATAAATTTAACTTCCGGATAACCACCTCTTACTAAAGATTGGATGAGAAACTACTCACTTTTCATGGCTTTTTTAAAACTAGAAAAGTGAGTGATACTTATCCCTCCAAGTAGAGGAGTTACAAGGTAACACATTTTACACAAGGAGCCGATCTTCGACAAAGAATGAGTGAATCACGTTCCACCCTTCACGGCTTTGGTAAAGCTCTAGAAAAGTGGAAGAGTTTCACTCCTCTAAGGGAAGAAAGAAGCTCAAGTAATGGAAGTAAAAAAAAGCAATAACACAATAAAAGAAAACAATACTTAAAGTAAAAGAAAGCAATAAATTAAAAGGAAGCAAGAATACAATAAAAGAAAGCAATACTTAAAGAAATCTATAAGCAATAAGGAAAACAATAATACTTTTGGAGGGTTTTCCACTACCAAAAGATGAATGCTTTACAAGTCCTAAGGGGTGGTATTTATAGGCAACAAGGGAGGGTGAAAGTCTTGTTAGGTGGCCTTGAATCTTGTTAGGTGGACTTGAAAAGTCTTGTTAGATGGCCTTGAATCTTGTTAGGTGGACTTGAAGAGTCTTGTTAGGTGGCTTTGAATCTTGTTAGGTGGACTTGAAAATCTTGTTAGGTGGCCTTGAATTCTTTGATCCCCCTTTGTTTTGAGCTTTGATAATTGGCACCCCAGTAGTTTGTAGCTTTAATGCAACTGGCTCCCCAGTAGTTTGTAGTTTTGACGCACAAATTCCTGAAAAGAATAACAATTAATACATTATTCTTTATTCACACACTAATTCTAATTTGATTTATTTTGACTAGTTTAACTTTATTCAACTAATACAATTTACCTATTAAATTATGCCTTAATTAGGGTTAATCACACCCCCCAACCTAAATATTACTAGTCCCTAGTAATAAACAACATAACAAAATAAAATCACTTTCGTAGATAACACGATTGCATTTAGCATATGCAATAAGCCGTTAAACCCCTAGGTGATCCCTAGTGGACGAGTTTTGTCTCGTGAAGGTTTCCAGTGAAGCTACCTACAAACTCCAATTAAAAGATGTGTATATGTAAGATTTCTTGTCAAAATGAGTTAGCAACAGAATCATTGAGGCACACATCTCTTAATTTTGATTTGTTTCCCGAACACTTCTCTGTCATTGGTACGTACTCTATACAAAAATAAACACTTGTTAGATTGGTATTTGGAATTCCTTGTGTAGTAGGAATAATCATTCTAGTAGCAAGAATTGTTATATAACAAACATTCTACTTTATCACCTTCCATGGATAGCTTTGATTTCTCAAATCTCTCTTAGAATGCTCTCAGCAAAAAATTCACTCCGATTATAGTGATTTGTCTCTCAAAGGGCATGTGATCAGAGGATGGTCAATCGAAGAATCACATGCACAGTTAGAAAGGGAGTGAAAGTCTTAAGAAAGTAGGCTAATCATGTTCTTGGCATAATCTCATGGAAGAATATCAATGCAATTAAAGAAATACTATTTAACATACCCCAGTTTTCGGTCGACAGCACACATGCATTAGACTTGAGATCAATTAGGACTTTTTATAGGTTGTAATGTGGCCAGAGGTTAGTGGCTAATGAAATGACGTCAATGGTATTCAAAAGCTATCCCCTTTTTTAATGTAGCACACCTCTTTCTT